ATTTTTAAAAACTATATTCTTTATCGATTCTTTATTTCACCACATTTCTGATACACAAAGTATTTCTGGACTTTCAAATTCTAAAATAAATTCTTAACGATTTGTTCTGTTCATAAATTGAGCATTAACATAAATAATTTTAAATATATTTGTTTTAGATACATTAATTATGTTATTCATTCAGGGTTCAGAGCTTGCCAAAAATTCTCATTATATTCCTCAATTTGAGTATTATAGATGTATTATCCCAAAAATATAAAAAACACTTAAAAAAATTTCGTCCATCCCACCCCCTGGCTAATATGGAGTAGGTGTCACCCTCAAAAAATTAAGTTACAATTTTTTTCAATAAAACAGTTGGAATCTATGATTTTTTTCTACATACAAACTGCCCTAGCCCCAAGAGCCGAACACCAACCACCTAAAGGTCCTTATGAAGTTTTTATCAAATCGGAACCAGATGTTTCTAGTCAAACAGAAGGAAATTATTGTACTTCTACAAAACAACATGACTAAGCACTAGTATTCAGTGGCGTAGCTACTCATTTTTCATAAATAAAAACAGTCTATAGCGATCAGCGCCAATACTATAGAGGACATGGTGATGGGAGGACCCTCCATGGGGGTTTCTGACCTCCAAAATCCCCCCATGGCTACGTCACGGCTTGTAGTTAAGTAGTGACGAATCGAATGATATTAATAGTGAATTTAGTTTAGTTTTTATGGTAAATGATTAATTTTCGACCACACATTTCATGCATTAGCTTATTGGATACCATTTTGAAAATGTATTGGTTTATATACTACTTAACTCACTTTCTTTGTATTTTTTCGTCCCAAGTTAAATGATCCAATCGTCGTTTCTTTGATTTTGACTCCATATTTAAATTTTGATCTGTTTCAATATTTGTATTATCCAGGAATTTTAAAATTGAAGAGACAGTAGTGCTGCTCATGGTATCTACTTTTTTCCTAACAATTTTATTTTTATTTTGCTTATTGAAACTGTTAACAAACAGCTCACTTTTTTAGATTGCCACTGAATCACTGAACTTGTTGCTCACACACCCCACAATAATGTCCACTTAGAAACAAACTATTGTAGGTCTGATGCAATAAGCAATGCACAAAATTCAACTGCAGAACTGCACAGTTGGAAGTTAATGTGAATATGGTGAATAATAAATATCTGATGAAATCTGTTCTTAGACATTATGCAATATTTCTGCGCATTTCACATTATTGACATAAGATTATTGATGAAAATTGTAGTTTTAGGTTATGTTAACGTGGTGTTATTCTATTGGCCGTTGCAGAGCGCACAGAACACTTATTCTGCAGAGCGTTAAAAACAGTGTTGCCAATGGCTAACCATTACAATTGTACTTGATAAAACATTCTCAAAGATCTGGTCCTTTAGTACACTCGAAGTTAAATCTAGCTACTTTTCCATTTGTTGTATACTGGGCGTTTCCTAACTACAGTAAGAAACTTTAGAGGATCATTTCTTAGGTCGTTTTATGAAAAAAGTTCCCATGAACATATGTCCGGAGTTGCTTCGTTTCTCAGATTCAAGGTGTTAAAGTTAAAAAAAAGAAATTGGGTATTTTATAAATGTCATAAATATCCTTAAATAGATTTGGTTTAAATTTAGTACAGTTATTTAAAGTAATAAAGGCGTATTGGCCTTAACTAGATGGAAATTATTGGGTCGAGTGACGTCTCAGTGGGCACTACAGCCAATTTTTTTTGGTGTGTCATCGATTTCAACTGCTAAGATTATTTTACCTCTTGTTCTGTATAGGCTTTGTTACTGTTTCCCAGCGCCACTTTAGGAACAGCACTGTTAATTAGAACCCAACAATAAAAGGTCGAGTGGGGAATCCTACCAAGGCATCAGAATTAATTATAAATAATTAAATTAAATGAAAAAATCCCGGCCAACGGTGGGATTCGAACCTGGAACCCTTGGATCCGCAGGCAAAGACTCTACCACTGAGTCAGTCGCCCCTTACAGCCAATATTATTGAGAAAAAAAGAACGCTACTGACTTCTTGTAGTTTTTATATTTTTTTCAGATTAAGCAACTAAAATTCAACTTTTTGGTCTGTTATTGCATGTGTTTTCTTCATATCTAACTTTGTTTTCGATAAAAAAAAATAAATATTACTTTAATAACTCATTCTAAAAACTATATCCATGAATGATAACATAAAATAAAAACCAAAAATAAACAATTTCGATCTTAATGTAACTGAGCAAAATGATCACCTCCTGATAAAATACACAACTGCAATCGATTTGTCATTGATTGTCTAACACACGTTCAAAGATACCTGGAGTATTCCTTATGACATTGCAATTAATTGTCAATTATCCTATTTCTTAAGTCATATTCACATCTTTTACAGGAGTTTTAAAAACAGAAGCCTTCAGATGACCCCGTAATTAAAAATGTAGATGATTCATAGCAGGACTGCGAGCTGGTCAATGTTGAGGTCCTGCACGTCCAATTCAGCGATTAGGGTAGATGATATTTAGATACGGACAAAGAAGAACACTAAAATGAGATGGAGCCCCGTCGTGCATAAATCACATGTGGGGTACGTCTTCTAACAAAATGGGTAAATGTTCTTACAGAAAATCCGTGTAGCATTCACCTATTAATCTTGCTGGTAAAAAAAAATGGGCATATTAGGTAGTCATCAATAATTCCTACCCAAATGTTCAGCCATAATTGTTATTAAAAATAACTTTCTTTAATAACGTGGGGATTTTCGTCGGCCCAAAAATGATCATCATGAAAATGCATAATACCATCTCGTGAAAAATTTGCATCGTCAGAAAAAAAAAATTGTGTGCCATCGTATACCTAAATCAATCACCTGCAAAAAATTAAGCTTGGGTGAAAATCCCGAGGCAGTAGAGCTTAGACCCGCTGTATGTGATATATAACACAGGAGATTTCTTTTTAAAACTTTCCAAACGATTTTTAGAACTGACTTCATACAGTGCAATATTGCTGGAACTATTTGAAGGATCTTCTTTTATCTTTCTAGTTCAGGCGTTGTTACAGTTTCTGGCCTTTAACCACATGTATTTTTATTAAAACTCCAAGTTTCACTTAAATCTTGCATGTAGCCGTTCTAAATGTTTTAGCGCATGGAATTACTCTATTAGGTTAGGATCTGGTAAATTATATGTTCTTCTTCCGCATTTCCATTTGCTAATATATAAATAAAGTACATGTCAGTCATCTCAGAACGAGTAAAATTATTAATGATGGAATCGCTGCTAATTGACAACTCTGAATTTTAGTGATAAGCAATACTTTCGACTTCCGATTCGGACATCCTCGTGGCAACATTGAAATGGCGATCTCCGAATCGGGAGCCCAGAAGTCCAATAATAAACCACTAAATATCTAGTTTAAAACTGACCATCCGACTTTAATTATAATTCTAAATTCAACCAAATATTCTGTGCCAAGAATACAGAAGAATATTTAAACCAAATATAAAGTGCTGTGGAAGAGTGAGGACAGAAGTCCGACGCACGAGGGTGCAGCTTTTCCACATAACAAAATTTGAGATAAAAAATAGTGCTGGGTAAATAATTCGGAAGAGTTGAGCCCATATAAAGTTAAAGAAGAAGAAGAAGCAATACTTTCATTGTGAACTGGTTTCCAAAGCAGGTAAGTAGGTACTTGATTGTTAATTTGTTATAAAAAGCATTCGAGCATTATGCTCGAAGTAAAAAGCAGATGTGGAATGACAATAATATGTGATAATAAAAGTTATTGAAGTTGAATGTTTATTTTCTAAACCTGAAAAAATAGTAAACCTATTAAAACCAGTGATGTTATAGATTTTAACTCAATTGCCTTCCAAGACGCTCCAAATTAGTAGCTAGAAATAAAACGAGTAAAAAAGTAAACACCAAATTTAAGACAAATGGACCAAATGGTCTAGATAATTTTTTGATATTATTACGCTGATTTTTGGTAACTCAATGCGCTGGTTCAGTGTGATGTCATTTTGGTTCCACTGACATTTAATTCTAACCAAATTTTTAACAAAAACATCAATAAATTTGACATATACGTTTCTACTTATAATTTTATAAACCAGGTCCTTCTGTTGAGCTTCTAAAAAAAGGGTACTCAGCTTATAATTAGATAAACCAGGTTCTTCTCTAGAGCTTCCTATTCTAAAAAGTTATCCAGATATTCCCGGACATTTTCATCATATGGGGCCAGACACCGAACAAGTTGTTCAAAACCCAGACAGTCAGGGTGAAATCCGTACAGATGTCATCCCTAGAGGGCCTTGTTACTTCAAAAAACTATGCCAAATTTCAACCAAATCGGTTTAAGGATATTTGTGATACTTATAAAATACCCAAATTTTGTTTTAACTTTAACGCCCTGTGTCTCAGAAACGATGCAACTCCGGACATATTATGTTCTTATAAAACGACCTAAGAAATCACTCTAAGTTTTGTACCGTAGTAAGGAAACACCCTGTATATCGTGCATTTGACGTGTGTATTTGAAATATCTGGTAAATTTTTATAGAATCTGGTACATTTTTCTAGACAAATCTAGTACATAACAAAAACATTCTGGCATCACTGGTTGGAAGGGTTTTTCCCAGTTCTCCCACTTCATACACAGAAATTGACAGTTTTGCCGCGGAATTAACCGAAGTGATCGCGAACCATTGGCGTACAAAATTATTTTATAGATGCTAATAATAATTTCGCGTAATGCATGTAAAAAGTTCAATAAATTGTGAATAGCTGTGGACATTTTGTACAAATATAATGTAGGCTGTTACAATACTTGCTTAAATAATTGTTTCTAGCCCATTACTTCCTACAATTGCCCGGTTCCGCTGGTAATAATTTAAAATTATATATTCTATGATACGACACTGGCAGATAAACGTTATCGCGAAATTCTCGAAGTCCTCCGACGGGGTTTGATGTTTACCACCTCTCCACCATACGTCATGTTATTTGTCATTTTCCATATGACATATGTCATCACTGTCATCAGTCATCCCATCTATCAATATTGATTAATTTTTAATATTTTAATAGGAGTTATATTTCTTATTTTTACTGTAACATTTTGTTACTACTGCCAAAAATAATGTCACGAGAAGCGCAATTATTCAAACTATGCCGAGGAAGTTTCGGACAGGTAAACCAATAATAATAAATTGTTATATAATCAACCCAAGAATCAACCTTAAGTTTAACCCTTTAATTTAAGTAGTTAGGCATGATATATCAAAAGTCTCTGAATCCACAGGTCCGCAGTATTCACAGAGCTTCAACTTCTCAAGCAGCTGCAGTCCAAGCCAAGGAAAAACCTGTAAAAAATAAGGTATTTTCAATTTACCGATGGAACCCTGACAAGTCCGATCAGAAACCTTATATGCAAGAATACAATGTAGATTTGAACGCATGTGGCCCTATGGTTTTAGATGCTCTCATAAAAATTAAAAACGAGATTGATCCTACGTTGACTTTTAGGCGTTCTTGCCGCGAGGGTATTTGTGGTTCTTGTGCTATGAATATTGGTGGGGTTAACACTTTGGCTTGTATCAGGTAAGATATACACTAAAATCAAAATAATCTAGAAGACAAACTCAACAATTACATGCTTTTCCGAAATTGTGATTAATTCTGTGATTTTTTTTTAGCAAGATTGACACGTCTGGTAAATCGACTAAAATTTACCCTTTGCCACATATGTATGTAGTAAAGGATCTTGTACCTGATATGAACAATTTTTATAATCAATACAAGTCTATTGAACCATGGCTACAACGAAAGTAAGCATGCAAAAATGTTACCTATGTTAATTTACAAATATTTTTTTATTATTTTGATTATAATTTGGATGTCTTCAATATACAGATTTTTATCACAATGTTGTTACTAAAGAAAATCTTAACAATCATTTTTATCTAATGTGTATGGCAAATAGGCAGCATTCATATTACCTAAAAATAAAAAAAATAGGTGGAAGGATTAATCAAGGAAATCTCAAAGAATACGAGTATAATTTTTATTTTCATTCATTTATGTGATATTTAAAAGATCTTATCAATCGTCAAAGAGTAAAACAATCTTGCAGTTGTCAAGATCCTTCTCAGTTCGTTAGTTGCGATATGAGGATTAGATTGCCCCGTTATTTTCATATAGTGTTAACAAATTATATTTTTTATGGAACTAAAGTTATGCTGATAAATCTGAGATGGTTTCCAAAACCAGATTTGTTCAGTGTCCAGTATTTTGATGTGTTCACTTATTTGAACTCCCAAAGATAGCAAGTTCTGCCTATGTTACTAGCATTGCTACCTGGGAGGTTTTTGTAGTGTTATTGTGTAACTTGAGTAATAATGGTTATTTTAAACTTCTATTTAAGCTTTTTTTTATGCCAAAGAAGGCAGCAAAGCACCTCGGGAATTTTGAGTTGAAACATATGCCATATTTTTAGGCTATTTTAAGGCTATTTTTATACCCTATTCTTATGCTCCTCGTTTTTTTTTGCAAAAATCAAGGTGCTCTGCTAGCTTCGAATGAAGTCATAAGAGCACCTCAGTTTTTTAAAGCTTTTTTCCAAAACCAACGACACTATATTTTTAGGCTATTTTTAGGCTCCTAAAATCATATATAACTTTTTAAAAAAAATGTATTTTTTAAAAAATACAGGGTGCTTTGCTACCTTCAAACGAATCCAGCAGAGCACCTCGGTTTTTTAAAACTTTTTTCTAAAAACAACTACACCACATTTTTAGGCTATTTTAAGGCTCTTGAAATATTATAAAACTTTACTAAAAAATTGCTATTTTTAAATAATAGAGGGTGCTTTGTTGGAGCAAAGTCAGCAGAACACCTCAGTTTATTATTATTTTTTTCAGAAAACTAGTTATGCTACGTTTTTAAGCTTTAATACAAAACTACTTTTCCAACTCTTTTTGAATATGAATTGAGGTATTTACATTGTGTGGCATAATTTTCATTTCTTATAATTAAAAAAACTTTCTTTGGTATGATCAGTCATATTGTATTTTTATTAAAATAGCCTTCACTACATATGTTTTAGAAAAATATTCCATCTTCTGTTTTTTTGAAAAATATGTAGTGCTATTAAAATTAAAAAAATAGTTTGACCGACCATACCAAAGAAGTTTTAATTTTTTATGAAAAATTCTGTTATATGATTAAAAATCTGATGTGTCCAACACATGACTTTCCTATCTAGGTATTACAGGCTTTTTCCGGTTATTTTGTACAATCTATTGCAGCATCTCTATAAATGTTTAGAGGATAAACTAAATATATACATTGTCCACATACATCTACCGCGAAACATTTTTCTATAGATATTCATTGAAAATGAAAATACTGAAAAATTTAAATTTAGCACTTTTCCTACAATTTTTCCATTACGGTCCATTTTAAAAAAATCATGTATAAACAAATATTATAGAGATCGATATCGCAAACAACTTTTATTTCAACAATTTTCATAAAAATCAGAATTTTGCACATTTTGTCAAATTTTTCGAATACGGACCATTTCAGGAAATTTTTACATAAAGCAAAAATTATAGATAATAATATTAGAAGTAACTTTTATTTGAACAATTTTTTTTCTTCAAACATAAATAACAGATATATTCCATAAAATATAAAAACGGCCTCCCATAAAGTACCCCCCCAGATGTTCCGACTTTGTCCAAAATCTAATCATTTCACGTCAGGCCGAAATAAAACTTAAGTTTAAAATTTAATGTTTTTTTCTTTATCCATTTTTGAGTTTTCTTCAAATTTCGAAATTTACACATTTTCTCAAATATCTCGAATACGGTCCATTTTAGAGAAATTATCTATAGGATAAAAATTATAGAGAATTATATTACAAACAACTTTTGTTTGAACAATTTTTATAAAAAAAAATATTTTTTTACATTTTGTCAAATTTCGCGAATACGGACCATTTTAGGAAAATTTTGTATATAACAAAAATTATAGATAATAAAATAAGAAGTAACTTTCATTTGAAGAATTTTCTTCCCCAAACGTAAATAACAGATATATTCCATAAAATATAAAAATGACCACCTATAAAGTACCCCCCCAGATGTTCCGACTCTGCCCAAAATCTAATCAGCTCATTAGACGTTGGAACAAAGCTTAAGTTTGAAATTTGGTGTTTTTCCGTGTATCGGTTCATGAGTTATGCGTTATACAGACACACACAGACACACACACAGACAGACAGACATCATCGCGAAAATAGTCAAAACGGATTCAGGGGACCTCAAAACGTAAAAATCCGTCGAAAACTCGAGGTCGAAAAAAATCATGATTCCTATACTTTCCTTATATCTGTATACAGATAGGAAAGTAAAAATGTAGTATAACTAGTTTTCTGAAAAATAAATAATAAACCGAGGTGCTCTGCTGACTTTGCTCCAACAAAGCACCCTGTATTATTTAAAAATAGCAATTTTTTTAGTAAAGTTTTATAATATTTCAAGAGCCTAAAAATGTGGTGTAGTTGTTTTTAGAAAAAAGCTTAAAAAAACCGAGGTGCTTTGCTGGATTCGTTCGAAGCTAGCAAAGAACCCTGTATTCTTTAAAAAATACATTTTTTTTGAAAAGTTATATATTGTTTTAAGAGCCTAAAAATAGCTTAAAAATGTAGCATAACTAGTTTTCTAAAAAAAAAATAATAATAAACCGAGGTGCTCTGCTCCAACAAGTATTATTTAAAAATAGCAATTTTTACTTTCCTATCTGTATACAGATATAAGGAAAGTATATGATTTTTTTCGACCTCGAGTTTTCGACGGATTTTTACGTTTTGAGGTCCCCTGAATCCGTTTTGACTATTTTCGCGATGATGTCTGTGTGTGTGTGTGTGTGTGTCTGTGTGTCTGTGTGTCTGTGTGTGTGTGTGTCTGTATAACGCATAACTCATGAACCGATACACAGAAAAACACCAAATTTTAAACTTAAGCTTTGTTTCAGCGTCCAATGAGCTGATTAGATTTTGGGCAGAGTCGGAACATCTGGGGGGGTACTTTATAGGTGGTCATTTTTATATTTTATGGAATATATCTGTTATTTACGTTTGGAGAAGAAAATTCTTCAAATAAAAGTTACTTCTAATATAATTATCTATAATTTTTGTTATATGCAAAATTTTCCTAAAATGGTCCGTATTCGAGAAATTTGACAAAATGTAAAAAAAATAATTTTTTATAAAAATTGTTCAAATAAAAGTTGTTTGTAATATAATTCTCTATAATTTTTATTCTATACATAATTTCTCTAAAATGGACCGTATTCGAGATATTTGAGAAAATGTGTAAATTTCGAATTTTGAAGAAAACTCAAAAACGGATATAGAAAAAAACATTAAATTTTAAACTTAAGGTTTATTTCGGCCTGACGTGCAATGATTAGATTTTGGACAAAGTCGGAACATCTGGGGGTGTACTTTATGGGAGACCGTTTTTATATTTTATGGAATATATCTGTTATTTATGTTTGGAGAAGAAAATTGTTCAATTAACAGTTACTTCTAATATTATTTTCTATAATTTTTGTTTTATGTCAAAATTTCCTGAAATGGTCCGTATTCGAGAAATTTGACAAAATGTGCAAAATTCTGATTTTTTTTGTTTTTACGTAATAACTAGATAGGAAAGTCATGTGTTGGACACATCAGATTTTTTAGTAAAGTTTTCAAGAGCCTAGTAAGTAAGTAAATTCTTTATTTAGCTTTCAGCTAGTTATAAACAAATATTTACAATTTAAACTTAAAACTCTAGGTTACCTAAACTTAGATAATTACTAATCATATTTTTAAAACTACCTAGAGTTGGGGCATCTTTTATATTTTTAGGCAACGCATTAAAAAGACGAATCCCTTCCTGCAATAATGAGCCTATCAAAAAAGATTTTTTTGTGAAATCAATATTAAAATTGTCCATTGATCTGAGTGGACGTAAATGAAGTTCAGATCTTTTTACAAGTAGTGTACTAAGTTATTTCGGAGTTTTGTGATGTATCATCTTATACAGGGTTGGCCAAACCTCTGTCGTAGTTCTATAACTCCTATTATGCAAATCTTAACGATTTATTCGAAGTATACCTGTCAATGGTGGTCAAAACCAAATATCCCAAAATTATTTTCTTGTATACAGGGTGGCCCAATCCCAATAGTAAATTAGGCAAATCACTTATTTTTTTTTTTAATGGAATGACCCTTTTTTACAATTTTAGGTACTCTATGGTCACTAGTGCATACCCATAAAATATTGTTTCTAACATCCTACCCCTTTCGCAGAAAAAGAAGAAATACCAAAAAATATTACATTTTCAGACGCCTATTAAAATATGCAGAGCTCTCTCGAATTTGACGTTAGAATTTAAAAAACTACAAATGTATAAAGCCAATAGACCAAAGATTTTTTTAGACCAAGTTTTAATTTTTTATTTTGAACAGGGTGGTCACAAATTAATTTCAATTTCCAAAAATTTCTAGGACATTTTTTTCAAATTTTTCAAATAGAACTAATATTACTATTCATCGATAAAACGAGAATTTTATACCCTTCGACTTCCCCATGTACTTTCCTATACCTATCTGTCGTCGTTTAAAAGTAAATTCCAAAAAGACATTGATCTATCAAAAATCCAATTTCTACCAGTGGTTTTATTGAAAGTGAACATTCAATCAAGTAGGCTGGGTCTTAATGAAGTGTCAGATTATTTATTAATGAAGTGTCAAGTTATTTTTACTGATCGCGAT